CCATTCTCCACATATTTCATGGCTTTACTGCTTTCTTAAACAGTCTAGGAATCTGAGAATCAAAGCAACCAATCACTAAGGAATTGTCTTTGGCTTAGATGTTAAAAAAATACTACATGTGAAATAACACTGAGCTGCTCTTTATACTAGCAAACAATGTGGAAGAGACCTTTTCAGGAAGTAATTGGTCTGTTTTGGTTCATTAAGCTTTAAATTCATCTCTCTGTGATGTACCAACCCAGGGTTGAGACACATAAAAATTAGGTCAGTTTATGGATCGAGTGTGGGACAATATTCTCAGGGCTATCTTTCAGAATGGGGAGTTTCATGAGGTCAGTTTGATGTTGTCAGTTCTCCTGCTCCAGAATTCTGCGATTATGTTTCTCTTTGCCTGATCAGTAACTGTGATCTGTGCTTTAGGTGGGATTCACTTTCTGCACAGAATAATCTATATGGTAAGGCAAGATGCAGCAATAGTAATCCTCTTAGACAAGGCAGTTATTTCAAGATCCTACAAAAAGCACTACTGTTATATTTTTTTCCAGATATTCTTCAGTCTGTTTAGTATAGGTTTCACTCGCTTTCTTGCACAGATGCTGCAGTGGCATCTGGGATGAGCACTCTTACAGTAGTCTAAAATAAGAAATATCCTAGCTACTAATAGGAGAGATGATGCAAGATCTACATGTTCACCTATGTAGTTGTTCAGACAGCTTTTCAAAGTACTGTGTGTGCTGAAGCAGGTATTCCAGCATGTCAGTATCTGAAATTAACTCCGGTTTCCCCTTTGTCCATTTTGCCCTTCACAAATAGAGAATTCCTCAGTGAGATGGGAATTTTACCAATTTACAGTTCATAAAGGGTTTACTTGTGAGAGTGTTCAAGATGAGGACTTGATTAGCACAGATGTACGTAATGCAGTTATGTGTGTTCTGAGTACAACTTTGGAATTTCAGTGGTACCAATATGGGCCTCAAAATTGGCTTGGGGGATATTCTGGCATGGTGAAACTGACCACACAGTTCTGTGACTCAGTTGACTTCTAACTTTCTATTTCATTGTTTGTGCTCATAACTAAATTACTTGGGTATAAATTTTGTAGTCAGAATGAATAGAAATTCCCACTTCTGTCATTTCTCTCTTTAAATGAGTGGAGAAAGTATAGTTCAGACCTCTGACTTTTTTCTGGTCATTCTTTCAATACAAATTCCACCCATGTGACAATCAACAAAAGTCTACTTGAAATGGTGTCTTTGTATTTTGAAATTTGAGCATGAAGTGTATTTGTTCAGGGCAATATTCAAAATTAATAATATTTGATTGTGGTGAAGTTTTGTGTGAAGGAATTTGAAAATCTCTTGCTACTTGTTGGACTTGCGTTGTGCTACATTTACATATGTTTTCAGATGAAAAGTCAAAGATCGAATGCATGTAGCAGGAGATTCTTCGTTTTCTCTCAGACAACTATGATTAAAATTGTTAGATCATGTTGTTACTATCCATGTTGTTTCCCCACTTAATAAAGACAAAGGGAGGTACTCAGATCAGACACGTTTTGGGAGTCATGTAAGATCCCTTTGTTTAATATTGTACCAGTCATTTACTGATTTGCAGAAGAAGTTGAGGGGGCTTTGGCCCATTCACTAGTGTAGTTTAGTGTTGTGTGTGTGTTCCAGGTCATGCACTGCAAGAGGGGTCCCTGTTGCTGCACAGCCCTCCAGTCTAGATCGTAGCTACATCTGGAATTGTAAACTAACTGCATTAAGCACTAGCAAACATGTAACAGAAAGGTCTTGAGGTTGGTAATACATTCAATGCTACCTTGGTTTTGCATGAAAAGTTCATATTTAGGCTTGGGATTTTTTGGTTCTTCCACATTTAAAGGAAAACATTTATTTTTCTGAATCAAGAGCAATAAGCACTGGTGAAAGTTTGTTCTGAGTTGGGCTTTTTTGGTAGTATCATTTTTCAAAAGACACTGTTAGACATTAATATCTCTAAAGAATCATTCTTTTACAGGAATGTTTCATTAAACATTGCATCTAGACAGTTGAAGAGGTCTATTTCACAAAATTCTGTGGATAGCATTAAAGACTATGCTTTTTTCATGAAGTATGTTACAAAGCATACTTTCTTATCATTGGTATGCTAAAAAGTACATGAATTGCAGTTTTTGCTTTGCTCAAATATTGGACTGGGTTTTAAAAGAAAATAAAATTTCAAAGCTGGATAGTATTAAATCTTCCTAATAAGTAAGTCTCTCTTCCACTTAATTTGTGCTTTTGTTGTGGCTAACAAATAATTTGTTGTATGGGTTTTTCTGTACACCATTGATAGAATATATAAGCTTGTCATCCTAGTGTGCTGGAAATGCTACACTCAAATCAAGTGTTCCTTTCTGGTTTTGTATATCCTCACCTGCTCCTCACTGTAAATCATTGAGATGTCAAGAGCAGTGATTAATTAAGCTGCACGTGCAAGTGCTTTTTTTCACCTGTCAAGTAGGAAGAGAAAACTTACTATAGTGAATTGTGTGATGCTGTTTAATTCATTTCTTTTTATTCCAAGCTCTGAGGTTTGCAGAAATATTCTAATTTTCATTAACATTTCTGTATTGATAATGTGGTGTGATTTGGGAGCTATGACTATCCCAGATTATACTATAGGAAGGATTATATTTAAGGCTCTGGGAAGATAAATAATCATGGTCTTGAGGCTGCATGTATTTTTATCTCATGCTAGTCAAATGATTTTGAACTGTGTTATTTAAATAAACCAATTAATAGTACATAACTACCTATCGATTTCTTATTTATATGTATATATTGTAATACAGATGTAATTTTATTGGAATTTGAAAAGCTTGGATGTTCTTCACAGTCTTTGGGGCAAACAAATTAAATTGTATAGTGATCTTAATCTATTATTAAAAGGTCCTGGAAAGGAAGATTACAAGGTAGATTCAGGTTTTGAATCAGTTTTGCCATTGGTTTAGCAGCGGGTGGGCAGGCAGATGCCTGCTCAGAGTAGAACCTATTGCCATTTTTCACCATTGATAGAGTAGCCTTTCAGAGTCAATGAGCTCTGTCAATGTGAGCTTGTCAAGGCTACAACTTCATAGACCTGAGAGGCGGTTTGAGAGGTCAGCCCTTTTCAGGTTTGCTGTGATGCAAATGAACTTTAATGCTTAAACAACTATTGGAATTTTTATGTCTGCTCCTTGTTCTTTTTTCTTCACAAAGTCATTGACGAGACATTCAGTGCTTTTTAAATTGGAAGTTGCATTGTGCTAAAGACCTAGTACAGATTTACGGAGGGCTGAAAGCAGTTAGATCATGTTCTTTTCATGGTGCGATTAGAATCAAATCGATTTCCCTACAGCCTTCAGCATTCAGATGGCAATTTTAACAAAGCTTGGGGGCTAGACAAGGGACAAAACGACTGAACTGAATGTTAATTACACTCTGCAGCCTTATTTTCTTTTGATTTGGAGCTGACTGGCAACTAAATTAACAAAAGTGTGACCATAACTGCTGCCCTATTTTCATTTAAAAGGAGAGCAGACTCTAAAAGGCTATCTTTACAAAGAAACAAGTGAGGTCTACTGATTATTGTTAAAGGGCACTGTCTTTAAAAACATAATAATAAGAAAAACCCCCAAAATACTCAATTTCCAATTGATGTGATAAAATAGTCACTGGCACATCCACCTTATGATAAATCCTTGACTTGTGCTTTTTAAAATAAAACATAATAAAAGGTTCAGTGTAATGAATACACATAGATAACAATGATCTAATTTTTAGTCATGTGACCACAGTACATACTTAGATATGTTTCCCCACAACCGCATCAGTATTAAACTAGAGACAAACTGGTGTTTGAAAACCAAGATGTTAATATTTGAGAGGAAATTAATAAATTTTTGTCCAATTTTTATTTTACTTATTCTTGTTTCTCATGACAACATTTAGTTTGATTTGTTAAGGTTCATTTACAGTACTAGTATTTTGTAGTAATAACAGCAAGATGCTCTCTCATCCTTTCCCCTCACCCCTCTCCACCTTGTAAGGAAGCTGCAGCTGCACTAAGTTGTATTTGATCCTTGTCATTGCTGCGTCCTTTTGCACCTGCAGCTCTCTTGGTCTCATCTTAACACCTGGCACCATGAATTATCCTCTTTTTATTCACAATCTGTAGCAAATCTCATTTAGAGCTAAGCAATATATATTCTGGCAGTCAAATGACTATAAATGTCAGTATGTGTTTCTAAAATGTAAATATAACTGAATAGTTATACTCAAAATGCTGTGAAACTTTACAGCACAGAATGTCCTTTACTTCTAGCATACATAATCTTAAAAAGCTGTACAGAACAGCTTTCAGGATTCCCTGTCTGAAGTGTCAAGTGTGGACAGTACTTGCAGTACTGTCAGGCGGTAAACCTCTGCTTTAGAATCCTAAATATTGGGTTTGCTCTTTATAAAAATCACATGAATTTGTGCAATTTGCTGTAAATTCTGCATTTGTTTTTTCAGTCTCTAAATCTGGATGTAAATGTAACAAATTTCTCGTTTAGAGTATTGTGTATTTGTACTTGACTTTCAGCATTGCAAAATAACTTGCAACATTTTTGAGTTTAGCTGCTGACCTTAGTCAGTGCACTTATACCACTGATACTAAGGGAGCAGTGTTCCTGCTTTTTATACTTGGATCACTTCGAAATTTCTGTGATTTTAAAGTTATAACTGCCATAAGAACCAGACAGCATGTATATCAACAGTTTTTGTTCCAAAGTGGTTGAAAATAATTATCTGGCTGTCATAAAAAGTTGTTTCTGTTGTAGATACTATTTAATACGGGAGAAGTTCTGATAGTTCTGCAGACCACCCTGTACTCAGTCACTGTCCCATACCTCTCTCCTTTTCACACAAAAGCAGCTGCAAAACAGTTTTTCTAAAACCAGTCAAGAGTAAAATTCTTTCTCATTTGTCTTCCAGACACGAAGATCGATTGAGAAGTTATTAGAATGGGAAAACAATAGGTTATACCACAAGGTGAGTGCCGCAGGGAGCAGCTTCGTACTGTTGGAGTTTGAATTGCACAGTATGGAAACAGATGCTTTTGTTGAACGAAAAATATGAAAGGTGGACAAATGGGCTAGTCTGTGTGCTGCAATAAAATACAGCTCATTTTTCTTCTTTTTCTTTCCTCCTTGTCTAGCTGTGCTTGCATTGGAGACTAAGCAAAAGGAAATGTGAAACGAATAACATGATGGAATATGTAAGTTAAAGGGCTGTTTTGTGAGTTTCTCTATTAAATGATCATTTATTTTGCTTCTGATCTTATTCTTTTCATGATTATTAATCAGTAAAGGTGTCAGGAGCTTAATCGCCTGAGTGCAAGGATTTTCTACGGTTCACAGATGCATGGTTTCATGTGCAGGACTGATTTATAAAGTTATGAAAGACTTGAAAACAAGGCTTCACTGTGTTCTGAAAAATAATAAATTAATTGCCAAGATAAAATAGCTTGAGCATGTGCTGATGGAGTGTGAAATTTTAGATGCTGTATAAAGAATAACCACAACTTTGGTTACGCAGCAAGTCAGATATGGCTATTTTATATAATGCTAATCAAGTCTAAAAGTATGGAAGAAGACCTTTCAACTAAGCTGTTGGAGCTTAAGAAACCTTTTTAGATTTTAACTGCCCCTTACCTCAATTATCTTAAAAGTATCTTTATCTCCAGTTGGTGTCACTAAAATATTTTTAAGTCAGTCTCTGGAGTTTTAATTCAGTCTTTGGCTGAGACTCCATAAGTCCTTCTTGGAAATATACAGTGAGAAGTTATATGTGGTTTAAAATGAATGATGTCCAGTATGGGATTTCAGTTTGTTTAACTTGCAACTTTCTTGTTCTTTTTTTTGGTGCTTTTCTTCTTTTCATTTTCAGAATGTCTTGGAAGTACATAGGATAGGATGAAATTAAGCTGCTAAAATATGAGAAACATTAGAATTTCCATAATTTCTTTTAATGCTTTAGGAACTGGGCGATAGGAAGGTTAACTTTTTAAAAATTAAGATTAATTTTTGAGAAATATCTACTGTGTTAGTTTTAATTGATCTGTGATCTTCCATTACACAGTACTCCATCTATTCTTTGAAATAACAAAGCTATAATGCATATTAAAACTTTAAACGTTACTAAACAGTTCAAAATTATATTAAAATTACCTTTTAGTCTTCCCCTTTTTCCTGTCTCTGCATTAGATCTTATTTCTAGCCTGAAATATAAGGTCTTAAAAATGCTTTTTATACAGAATGACTCTATTCAGTTCACTGAATAAGTACATTTTGTAGCATCTATTCTACCAAATTTTTTGGGATAGATGCATGAGTGTGACTGAAAACAGAATAAATCAAATTTCAGAAAGTAGACTTAAGCTTTACCTAAGTGGTTCTTATTTTCCTGAAAACTTTGTTTTTCCACAGGAAACACTGTCAAAGCCAATTCAATTCTCAGATTCAATTGAAAAAAACACAATGCAAATTTGTAAATACTGTGGCCCACCAGTGTTTACAGATGAATATTCATTTTATTAAATATAATTTAAAATCAGTTGACCTGTTTACATTAATAGTATATATGCATGCACATACGGTTTTACGAGATAAAGGTCAAAGATTTTATTTTCAATTTGTGAAACCTCTGATATTGTATGTGGGTATACTTAGTGAGAGAATTTTTACAAAACCTCACTGTACTGTTTTCTCGTTTTCAGTGAACTGATTTGCTAGTCTCTTTAAAAACTGCCCTGATTGTGTTCATGATTTTATTTTAAATAATAAATACTTATCCTCAATTCTTTTTCAAAACAAATGATTGAAATTAGATTCTTTCACCCAAAACCTGGTGCTTTGCTGAATTTGAAATTTTCACTGTTGTAAATGCTAAATTAAATAAATAATTCTAGAAATTAAGAAAGACAAGATAATCTTACATCTTTGGCATAAACACAGTGTTCCAGCTTTACTTCTTGCTCCCTTCTTGAAACCTTGCCGGAATATCAGAAGCCCTGGTATCTCTGCAGAATCCAGTGGTTGACTAACATCACTGATCAATAGGTTTTGAGCAGTTTGCATCACCTCTGAAAATAAGTCCCTTCTGAATCTCTCAAAAAATAAATTTGTACACCTGATTTCAGTACACATTACTTCTAATGTGTTTGCCTTAGAAGTAAAATCAGAGACTCATTTATTTGCTGATGTTTGGTACACTATCAGAGATAGTATACTTTCTAAGCAGCTAAGTTGTGTTCTCCCCTTACAATCAAAAATATTCAGAAATAATTTTTAACTTTTAGAAAGGTGAGTTCCCCTTACAAGTAAATAAAATCCTTAGCTATGTTACCAGATGCATTTATTTCTTTATGAATCAGATCATGCTGCTGTGTTTCGATTGTCTTTCTGAAGAAAGAAAATGCACAAGTGAACATTTTCTTTAAGCTTCCTATTTAAAGGAGGATAAATACTTGGATTGTGTTCTGGAGCAGACCCTATTATGTACTTAGCTCAGAAACACGTAGTTTTAATTTGAATCGAGACCATAAGAATAATCATGCAAAAGCATTAGTCAAGTTCTTGTTAACTACTTGCACATTTGTAGATATGGGAACTTTGCAAAAGTTGGTACACTTTTCTATACAGGTATTAAACTATTAACATGATTTAGAATCCTGTATTAAGTGGAAATAATTCTGAAGTAAATGGAATTGCCTGTGTAATTGAAAATTAACTTTTCATGCATTGTGCCTTCTGGATTATTTTTTTTTAATTTTTTCAAATGAATGCATTTGTCTCTTTCATAATTTTTTCCTAATAAAGGAAACATATTATGTTAAGGAATTTTTATGTAGTAGCTTACTTCAGTTCATTTTCGTATGTTATGTGTCAGTAGGCAAGCTTATTCAATTGAATTGATTCTTTAAGAGTTTGGGGTTTCTACTGATGACCCCAAAACAATTAACATGCATGATTTTTCTAATGGTCATCTACCTAAGACAAGCTCTGTGATCTTTGATTTATGTCACAACTTGATGTACTAAAAAAAAAAGGAATATGAATTATCATTGTGATAAATAATAGGATTGCTGCCATCTTTAATATATATTTGTTTTCTTTTTATACAGGTCATCCTTATAGAATTTTTACCAAAGACACCAATTTTTCGACCAGATTAGCATTTGATTTATTTATAGAGACTTATTCAAGTATGTTGTCTTTCCAATGGTGCCTTGCTTGGTGCTCTCCTGGTAGTGACATAGCATTGGTTCTACAGAGTCTTGTGGTGTTTTCATTCTTTTTTTTTTTGTTTCGTTGGTTGTTTTTTTGTTTTGTTTTTTTTTTTATAAGAACATGTTCTAAGTGCATTTAGTCAAACTCTGCTGATTTCACACAGGTATTAATTACTACTTAAGTTATTTTTACTTTTGCTACTTCTGTTATTAATGTATCTTGATTTTCAAAGAGTCTTTTATATGTGTGCGCGCGCGTGTGTACATATATATATATTACCATAAATACACAGCTGAAAATTATATACAAGTGAACAGGTATTTTTTTATCCCAATATGACACAACTGATTGACTGTACATTGTGTAAGTCCTTTTAGTTATTCATTTACATGCTGAAGTTCCTTCTAAGATATTCCTAAACTTCTGTCAGTGACTAGTCAATTGTAAATATTTTTATTTCTTTTTGGGATATTGGCTAGTCTCTTCCAGCAAAAGGAGATAAAGTTCTTTTTGAAACTGTGCTTTTTGGAACCCAAATGCCATTGCATTAGTAGAAATCTCTGTGCTTTTCATGAAGAAGTCCTGTCAGCTGGTTCTGAAAAAGTTCGGCTTTAAAAGTTAAAAAGAAGCAGCAAAATGGAATTATTTTACTTGGATTAGAAGACTCACTCAGAGAATTGCATGCATCTGGTTAGTAGAACTCAAGATCACAAAAATATATTAGTATTGCATTTTATAAAGTAGGTGTTTTAATTCAGTCTAATGCCATGTATCAGCTTTATTCCTACTGTTTACCAGAACCTGTACACAGGGGTGCAGAAGGACTTGTTTTACTAAAACTTATTGTCCAAGAGGACCTTTCAGGGGTTTTTAGTTTATTTTAAAACAACATAAGCAGAAAAAGTTATTGAAGTATTCTTGAACAGTAGAGTTCCAGATGCAAAGGCCATTTGATAATCAAAGCAGGGTATACTGGGCAACAGCAGAATTTTAAATGTGTTAGACAGTTATTTATTGCACCCTTTTCTTTTGCTCATTTTGGTTTACAAAGCTTATTTTTTGTGCAAGTATAAGACTTCTTTTAACTGAATATATGATGTATGCTTGGGTCAGGCTAGTTGTATTTTGTTTCTTATGCTTATACCTTAGTTGTACATATCTTCACAATAGGTTTTGTGGTTTTTTTAATTGCAACTCTCATATTTCAGAATTTGCTCTAGATACATAAAATTACTGTACATGAACACTGATGTAAGTTAAGAACATGTTCCTTGTACAGTTGTGGTAGCAAGCAATAATGTCAATATATGAAAAAACAGATACTCTGCTTAATATTTGTATGAATGAAAAGTTGATACCACTACAAGAATAGTCTTCTCTTTTTAATCTTTTAAATACAGGTACCTTGATGCTGTGAACTATTTTTCTATGTCTTCAAGATATTTATTCTCTGTAAAATATTCTCTAGTGAGTATTATATTCCTGAATTGTTCATAGTAGGAGTGGTCTAGAAAGTTTTAAGTTTTCTTAAATCTAAGCCTTCTGTATCTGTTCCCAAAACTCGTCTTTTGCTCAGCTTTCATCTGTGGATTCCTGCTGTTCACTTTGAAAATAGCTCAGCTATGCTTTTCATACAAACCTACAAGTGTGTTTCTTTGACATGACAGAACGTGATTTTTAATTAACAAATCCCAGTTTCGTGCTTCCTCGGTCTTCTGGGTGCCACAATGGTCTCTCTCAAAAGTAAATGTTTATAAATTTCTAAAAGTCAATTTCAACCTCTTCTTTAATACGAATCTGGGTCTGCAACACTCCTCTTTTTGCCCAGAAGTATTAATTATAACCTCAAACTAGTTTTCAGCCTGTAAGGGAGGCCAGAAACGTAACATTGATGTCAGCTGAGACTGGGGAGATTGTTCCATTTCAACCTCTCCTCTGGACCTCCAGAGGTCATAACTGGTGATAAATTCTGATGACCAGAAATATATATTGATTTCTTTAAGTGTCGGTTTTCAATAAAATGAATATTGACTCATATGAAGCCTAGATTTTATCAAGATTTTCAGTTGACTGTACAGATAATTTGTGTCATGGATGCAGTTTTCCGCTGGTGTGGAAACCTATCCTTCCACATAGTGTGGAGGGATAGGTTGGATAGGGCTTGTAATACGTTTATAGTACTGCCACACTCAGCGCGAGCTATTTGCCTTAGTTTACTACCCAAACTTTCCATGCTACGTTCTGTGACACCACAGATACCTTGCCAGCAGCACCAAAATCCACTGACAGTAAAGCTACTTTGGGCACAACAAGTGCTGAAACTAGAGCAGTGAATAGAGTGTGGCTTATGAGTTTACGAAGAGTATCTCATTAGTAAAGCTTCCACATTAGTGGTAGTGCTGGTTAAGTTCTTGCCTACTTTTAGGTGCATCAGCAATCATGGGCTTGGTTAGCAGGCATTTCTGTATTTTAACTATGACTTTCTCTTAAAGAACTCTAGTACAGAGCTCAGAGCAATTAAAAAGTTAAATCCCTTAGTAAGGCGCCAGACTAATTCACTCTAAAAGTATTTCCGATATTGTATTAAAACAGTTACTCTGACTTAAAATACAATCAGGAAACTTGAGAAACTGCATATATAGAAAGATGAGTTTTATCTCAAAGGTGTTATTCTCCTGAAGAGGTAGTACACTCACCTAGTAAGAATGTTATAAAACATTTTGATACAATCCCTTTCAATTCATTAATTACAGTTATGGAAATTGAACATGGCAGGAACTTCAATCAACTGTTTAATGCCTGCGGCAGTTGTCAGGATTTTCCTTTGATGTTGCTTCTGAAATATGAAATCTATTTACTTTGTGTGCTAGTGAGAAGACATACATTACCTTTTCATCTATTTGTCAAAGAAAGAAGTTGCACAGTTTGAACAGACCAGAAGCTGTAGTAGGACTTCCAGGACATAGCCTACACTTTGCTAAAATAAATATTACATTGTACTAACTTGTTCAGCTTCTTGCAAGTCAGCAATTCCTACAAATAATCTTATCTATTTGAAATTTCCTTTAACAGTAGGAGTTGATATTAATCATTTAGCAAATGATGTTCATTATGCCTGTTTCACCTTTAACCTGAAAAACTAATGGTGAAGGCATCAATGACTCCTGTGAAAGCCAATAATTATTTTTAGATATAGTGGCCTTTAACTGGTGAATAAAGATTTTTTTTCTGTAGTATAATAGAAATAAATTCTTTTTAATCTTTTAGTGATAGATAGAAATAAGTCCTGAGGGAGAAGGTCTTTCTGTCTGACTCTACATAAATAATTCTGTAGAGCTCATCTATTGTTAAATAGCTCTGATTTGAAGTTTATACTGGGATTGGCAAATTTTACCAGAAATGAAAATGTTTATGGAGATAGGCTACGGGAAGTCAAGTAAATTTTTTGTAATAGCTCAGTCAGAGTAATTTTAGTAAACTATTTATGCAAATCCAAAATTTCCCAATATCCAAATATCCAAAATGATACTTAAACTGAAGTAGAATAGATTATAAAAACTTTTTACAGTACTTAGATGTAAATTGTAATCTCTAAACCAGTTTGTTAAAGGGTATTTTTTTGTAACTCTCAAGACCATGGTGTTTAAATGCTCTGTCTCTCACACACAGGCTTACTTAAAAGTTGGTTTTAATTTTTTTTTTCTAAAAGTCATTATTTAGCCCTGAAGATTGTAGGGAAGAGCTTTAAAATGCAATTTGTAGCTGCTTAGAATCCAGAAGGAAAGGAAAAAGAACTTTTCTTTATTCCTTTCCCTCCACCCCCCACCCCAAAGTCTTAGTTTTAAATTGGTCCCCTTGTTTTGGAGCCCTAGCTTATGGTTTTTGAGCAGCTGGCAATAATGCAAATTGTCCACCAAAAAAACCCATTTGAATTCTGAACAATGTAAAGAGATCATTTTAATTAAGAGGCAAAAGATATGTTAAGCAAAGAAAATCCCTGGTTCTTTTAAGTTCTCCCAGCACTGCTATTGAGTAATTAAAAGAAGGATCATGATGACCCTACATTAGGTCAAAATCCAGATGATTTTGTGTAAAGGAAATGCTCAATTAGAGAGGTCTCAGAGCCCCAAATGTCTTGGATTAATAGTAGCAATTTATTAAGGGTAAGTGACGCTGGCTAGTTTTATATCCGTGACTAAAATCATTTATGTTGCTCTTCAACAACCTTGTTTACGAAAAGAAAGCATTTCAGAAATAAGATCTGTATTCATCACTGCTAATTTGCTGTAATTTCTGTGCTTTTCGCTAAAGCCACATTGCATTTCCATCACAAACAGCTAAGTGTATGATCGTTATAATGCCTTTAATAGCCATATTGTAGGTAGAAATATTAACTTCTCAGGGACTAATAGGAAATATGAAAATGGAGTTAATGAGCTGAATGCCTATCTGCATGAAGGCTTCCTTTGCAAACATCACTCTAGAAACCTGATTGTAATATGCATGACCATTATGAATGTTATCAATATACAGTTATGAGAGCTTCTTTTACCCTGTATTATTAGGCTGCTGAATGTCAAAGTATGTTGGATAAGGATAAATGAAGGTTTTTTTCTGATTTTGATGGAGTGATTATTTCTAATGGTGCTACCTTCTTAATTCCTGTGTTTATTCTTTGTAAAGTTCTCTCTGAATAGTCTGGGTGAAACAGGGGATACTGACGTAATGAGAAAATAGTATCGTTCTTCTTAAGGAAGAGAAAAATTTGAAGGGGAGAAGTACTCTAGAAGCAAAAAAATTTCACTGCTGGAAACATGCATTTATTCTTCATTAGTTACACATATTCATTTGTGTTGTTTTGTTGGTTACAGAACTTTGCCATTCATTAATTTTTGAACTTTCATCTTTTTGCACACTGATGTTTCAGTCGGTGTGGGCTGAGTTAGAGACTATTTTTTAAAATTAAAAAACACCCGAATCCTTGCATGAAACTTCATTTGTTGACACTTGTGCTGGTGTATGTATCTCTACCACATGACACCTGGGTAATATAAATCCTTTATAAACTACATTTTACTGTTTTCATGGAAGTTGTCCTTTTAAAAAAGAATTCTGCTTTGTTTAGCTTATTAATATTGTATTGAGATTTATTTTCTTGGAAAAGGATTCATAAATGCTTGGCTCCTCAGAATACAACAGACCATTGGGAACAATTTAGTGAGGCAAAAGATGAAACATAGGAATTAGGAGAAGCAACACCCAAAAGCTTGAGTTTGGATATTAGGTTTGGAGTTCTCTGAGTACAATGGAAAATAGTTTTGAACTGAATGAAATGGTATTGAATAATGCAAGTTAAGTAAAAGCTAGCAGACCATTTCAGTAATTAGGTAGACTGTGTTAACTTCTATTTTTTATTTTAATAAGTGTGTTTATTAATTTATTTTAGTTATTCTCTAGTTGATAGACAATTCTGCTATTATACAGAATAATAATGCAGAAGGTAAGCTTCCTTCTAAACTCAGTGTCTCTTCATTTGAAATAGCCAAACCAAAACGGAATTGCTGATGAGAACTGCACAGTAAGTGCAGAACACGCTTTTCCTAAGCTGGAGCCTGTAATGCATGGCTAATTGTTTCCAAAGAAAATTCTTGACTTGTCCAGACAGCTCCTGTCGTGTGACAGTATATCTAAGGCCCACAAATAGGATCCAGTTAGTACAATTTAAGTTCAGGTGAGTAAGAGAGACTTCTGTAGTTAGTTGTAGCTTTTATGGAGAAGGGAACCATTGACAAATACTCACTTTTCGAAGGCAAATAGTAGATTTTACAATGTTTATTGAAACATGCTTTTT